AATTCTACAGCCACACTTAGCATCTAACACTTAACAAACTTGGTCACCGTCTTAGATATGTCTTCTCCCCCTCCTAAATACTCCATTAAATTACTACACAAAATTTTCTTATGAATTTGACTTTCCTCACATTCCTTGTTTCTGCTCTTGGAGACTTCTGTCAAGATTGTTTGAATCGCTCATTAGTTGATGATTTTCAGTAATCTCAGAAATCTGGAGAATTTTCTCACAGTTTGGACATTATTATTATTATATGTTTCATTACTTTGCTCAAGAATTTTGAGTTTTTTGCTTTGGTAGGGTATTTCATGCATCTCGTTTTAATCTGAAGTTAAATAGAGATGCTTGAGCTAGGATTCTAATCAAAATACCAGATTTGGGATAGTCTTGAAGAAGATCGTTTTTGTAGGATGTGCTGACCTAAGAATTGTCTTGGAAATGTAACAAAATAATAGGAAAATGTGGAATGAGAAACCTATATAGGCAAGTATAAAATAACAAGGATGCTTAGGAACTTGATTGCAGGACAAATTGCCATTTTAAAGAGGCAGAGGCATACACTCACAAAAATAAGTGAAGCACACTTTGCTTTATTGGCAGAGAGACAAGACACATGATCAAAAATATGTAGCAGTCTGATTTGTCTCTAAATCTTCTCCTTCACATAGCTCAGTCCATTAGAAATTTTTGAGCAGTATCTCAAATATATATGTATTTATTTAAAATTATGGCAGCTATGCATATATATGCATGTATATTTGATGTGTTGTTCATCTATATCTCAAAGGCAAATTTCTTTATGATGATAGTGGATGTGAATCCACATGTTGATAACTTTAAAGTGTTAAAGAAGTTTCAGCCACTTCATATTTTATTAGACGAGAGTGTCATTGTTTTATTTCATAATATGGCTAAAGAAGAGATTGAGTGAGAGTAGAAATGTAGACTTTGTCCTTTTTTTTGTTCACTTGTGTTTATATTAGTTTTATTTTCAATACATGATTTCTTTGCAAGAGATGTGTGAAGCCATTTATCCATTTTGTGAGATTTACTTTATTTAAAAACTGTGATAATGTATTCTGGAAACCCACTTACATATGGCCAGGTGGTCTGCAGCACACTCAAAGAACATGATCTTGTGGACAGCGCTGTCAACCCCTTCAGCTTGTGCAGTTCCCAGGCCTCCCGCGTGCCTGTACCTCCAGGCACGTGGCCATCTGATGTATGAGGAGATGAGACTAGTGCCAATCAATGTCAAATATCAGTGAAGTTCACTTTCTTATGTTGCTTGTTTTAAAAAGTTCTAAGAATTTCTGCACCCAGAAGGACGGTGAAAGGCTGCACAAACAATTTACGATTTACAATAATAATGAAAGGCTTAAATATGTAACCATGTGATTAAGCCCTTGAGCTTTAGAGACACAAAATCCTACTTGTATCTTATGAGCTGTGTGATGATAGAGAATTTATGGTATCTCTTCAAACTTTCCTGTGGTTATTTGTGAAGTGTTTGTTTTTTATTTCTAGCTACCTCGTATTGTAATTTGGAAAATTGAATTCTATCAGACATGTAAATTTCCAGCACATTCTAAGCTGCTAATATTTTAATAATCCTAATTTTGATAATATGAGAGGAAGATGAGAATTAGTACATAAAATTCACTCTAAGATTCCTTATCTCAGAGATAGAGGGAATATATTTGGTTGGAACTGAAAGCAAGCTAGAAATTAGACAAAGAAAAAAGATTGTGAACTCCTTTCACACATTACATCATACACAATGATCTTATGTATATAAATAGTATTGTGATACACAGGTGGAAATTTTAATTTTTTAAATTACTCCCTATTTGGGTGAGAATTGATGAGTTAGAGAAAAAAGTAGAAAAAAATCTGATGAGTGTAAATTCTTCACTCTGAACCAGGAAGTTATTTTTGCTCTTCTCATACTGGAGAGTCTGGAAAGGCTGACCAATGCAAAGGGAGGGCCAACCTGTGAGACCCACATACATATCTTGTGAACTGGAATAAACATGTTCTCATAGGAAATGTCCTTGCAAGTCATTTGTGTGACAGGGAGGTGGCCTGATGTGGAGGTAAGATTATGAGACTTGGATTTAAAAGGTTTGGCTTGAGATTCCATAGCCATGACTATGAAAATCATGACCATTTTTATATCCCCCAGTAATAATATTTGTTTTACTGTTCTTGAAAGAATATAAATGATGCATATGAAGAAAATTATTCAAGCTTGCAACTTTTTAAGCAAATTTCAGTTGTTACTATTAATAATAATAATAATGATTGCAGATCATTAAGAATTGGATAAAAATATAAACTCCCCAAAAGCCTGAGATTCAGGGACAAGATCTTAAACACTAAATTTACTTTTTGACTATTTTTCAACTAATTGCATTTCCTCATAATTTTTGTTTCTCAAGTAACATACTCCTTATGAACAATTTCTCCTAGGTAAAAATAACACGAATATCCATTTTAATAGGTGACAATCAAATTTGGAAATAGAAATCTATTTTCTTTCTGCTTTTTAACTTTCATTGTGAGGATTACATATTGGCTTATTTTATTATCTCTCTAATGATCACTCAGCTCCTGAAATATGTTTTGTTTTGTGTTTTGAAAAAGTAAATTATATTTTCTCTTGTATAAAACTATTATTACACTCTGAGAAAAAGATGGAGAAAAAATTGGTTGAATTTAAAGCTGATCATATCTATGGTGCTATAGTTTATTCTGAAATTAAAGTTCCAATATGACATCATTCACATATATATGTATATATACATATATAGCTGTATATACTTGCCCTAGTTTATACGGTATCGAGTGGCTGTTTGTAAGAAGGGACTCTTTGGACTGGCTGCAATAACATATAAAGAAATGTTAATAAAATATTTTTCCTGTACTCTGCCACTTAGCATGCTAAACTGTGTCCTTAATCATCTCCTAAGGGAAAACACACAGATTTCTTAGATAGATTTTCCTTGCAATAGAGACATCCAACAAGACAGCTCTGAAGTGTGTGATTAACTTGAAATAATAGTGGCCCTTAGGGTTTCAGGCTTTTTCTACTTCATAACATTTTGGGTCTGTTATTACCTTAGGTGAACCCAATTCCCCAGGAAAGAAGATGCTGACTTAATTCTTCTGTGACTTATGTCATCAATATAGCGAGGATAGAAATGAAACCGTGTTTCTCTACGCTTATGAGATTCTAGGTAGCTATTATTTAAACTTATTTCACAAAAACTGCTGAATTTTTTATACCCTGATGATGACTGTGGACTCTTAGAAATAAATCTTCACATGGAAACAAATGAGATTAAACATGTGCATGCACTTGCACACGGGCACGAGCACACACACACACAAATTCAGTTACTGTGGAGAATTCGAGAGTACTATTTTATTGGATTTTCCCTGATACAAGACATAATAAAATAAGAAGTTCCTTCAAAGTAAATGTTTCTTTGCCTTACTGTCTTCAAGCACACCATGCAGGGAATGAACACTATTCGATTTATAAAGGTTTTCAGGACAGATTGCACATGCTACCTTCCTCAGCCTTTGCCAGGATTGTATCACCCACTTTTTCAGGACATTTATATTTAAAAGTAACCAAAATCCTGTATTTTTTTTCATTTGAGCAAAGATCGACTAAAAAATAACATCATAAATCTTTGTACTATAACCCAAAATACACATAAAAGACATTGTAACCTGGTTAATAATAATTTGATACATAGATAAATTTAATTGGACTGTATTTTTGACTAAATGAATAAATAACTTTTACAAGCTATATCATTCTAGTAGGATTCTTTATACACTGCCTTCTTAGTGTATGCTATTATATAATAATTGTCTTAATTTACTTTGAGGTTAACAAAGCAATTACCTAATTTTTCCTTTGTTCTTATTTTCTCTGGAATTTATTAAAATTTATTCAATAAATAACTTTCTGAAAGTGCTACAAAACACATGTGCTTATAAAATAAAAGCAAAATAATTCAAAGAGAAGAATGAAACTTAAACATGCAAGCATAAAAAGCTGTGTCTTAAAGAACAAAAATTCATTGTGTCAGTGACTATCCCAATAGTATTAGAGGAAAAAATTTGAAATAGTGAAACCATGGCAGAATTAGAAAAGTAGTGAGAAGAATGAATGATATATAATCAAGAGTATTCAATCCAGAACAACTACCTAACCTGGCATTTCTCAAGGAGAGTTATGTGGATCACTAATATATCGTGACATACTATTTTGTAATTTATTTATGAATGTTTCCCCAAGAGTTTTAGAATGAAAGAAATTTGGGAAATTCTGCATGTTATATTCCCCTCTTGTGAGTCACAGTACATCTAAAGTTTCTGAGAAATCTTAAATTACTTGGAAATATGTAGATATTTTTTATTGTAGTAAAATGCATATAACATCAAATTTACCATTTTAAAGTGTACAATTTAGTGTCATTACGTACATTCACAATGTGTTACAACCATCACCATGGGCTAGTTCCAGGTAATCGTTGTAATCGTTAATTTGACCATGAAACAGTTTCCTTCTGGAATATCTTTTAATTTTGGTGTTTCCAGAGAATATATATGGAAATATTGATCCAATCCTTTCATTTTAAAAATTAAAAATGCGATCTTGAGAGATTAAATGCCCTGCTCAAGATCACACATGTGGTTGGGAGATAGCCAGTATCTCATGCAGATTGCATTTCCAAGAAGTGGGCCTTTTCTATCTCACGCTATTTTCCCCTTTCCATCTATGTGGCCTGTCTGGATCTGACAATCCAGTAACCTACAGAAAATACATTAAGATTTTACCTAGAAGAATTCAAGATTAAAACAAATATCTCTAATCTTGAAAAAGGTACATTACTTTTAAATGCTACGTTTTACTTGTTTTATAACCCTCTCGCTGTGATTTTCTTATGAGAACTTTCTAATTCACAGAATTCTGTTCTCAGGTCTTTTTAAGATTGTGGCTGATAAAACTCCATACCTCACTATGGAAGAAATTACAAGAACCATCCATATTGGACCAAGTAGACTGGGGCATCCTTGCTTCTATCATCAGAAGGATATAAAACTAGAGAATCTCATCATAAAGCAAGGTGAGCAAATCATGCTCAACTCAGTCGAAGAGATCAATGGAGAAATAATGGTGAACTGTGGTGTGCTAAGGAATCATCAAAATCACTCATTTACTTTGCCTTTGTCACAAGAAGGAGAGTTCTATGAATGTGATGATGAACATATTTATACCCTAAAGGAAATTGTCCAATGGAAGATCCCCAAGAACAGAACACGAACTGTGAAACTTACAGACTTTTCAAATAAGTGGGACTTAAGAAATCCATTCCCTAAAGGCTTTTATGGTGCTGTGATTCTCAAGCCTGTTTATGAAATTCAAGGTGTGATGAAATGTAAGTATCCCCTGAGAATGATGCTTTATGAACATGATTGTGGGGTTTGGGAAAGAGAAAAGCTTTAGTCTAAAGAATGGAACTCTGTCCCTGACTTGCCCATTAAGCCCACTGAGAGTCAGATTCTCATCTATAAATAAGCAAATCATGAAGACTCAAATTCAGCAATGTATGTAAGCAAATATTTTAAATTGTGTGGTGCTATCCAAATGTAAAATGCTGTAATTGTCAGGTACAGACAGATTAAAATATTTATTTTTATCACTGCCAGTTAAATAGGATCAGAAAAGAGCTACTTTTTAGAATAGAGAATTAATTGGCTAGAAAGAAGCTTTCTTATATGGAGGTGGTCATAAAAGAGGTAAGACACAAAGTTTCTTTATGTGTCCCTTACTCCTATTTTTGTGAGAGCCTTTTTTCTTTTTTTTTTTTCAGCCATCCCTCATTGGTCATAAATCCTCCTATTAGCTTGGAGTCCTTCTGACTTAAGGGAAAATGATATGACAAATTAATTCACACATAAGTGTGGGTTTAAAAGGATTCTATTGAAATATAGTTGTTTTACAATATTATATTAGTTTCAGGTGTACAGCATAGTGATTCAATATTTTTATACATTATACTCCCTTTAGAATTATTACAAAAATGGCTATATTTCCCAGTGCTGTACAATATATCCTTGTTGCTTATCTATCTTATACATAGTACTTTGTATAACTTAATCCCATACCCCTATCCTGATCCTCCCCCTTTCCCTCTTCCCACATAAGTGTATTTTAATATGTAATCTTCATAAGATTTTTGCATTTTAAAATAAGAATAGCTGGAGAGAGCATTGTAATCCTACAGAAATTAACACCTTGACTTTTTAAGATTATGGCACATAAGCATAACAAGTATGGAACAAAGAGTTCTGTATTTGCAGTAAAAAGTCCTGGATTCTAACTCTGGTCAATAACTTAACAGGTGGTAGCTTTGGGTGAGCCATGTAAACTGCATCTATACAAAGGGGATGATGATATCCCTTTTGTCTATGACTTGGAGTTGTTTTGAGAATGAAATAAGGTTCTATTAAGATACTATATGTAATACACCCGAGGAAAAAAAAGCAATATGTAAAAATGTTTGGTCAAAGAGTACCCCTTGGATATCTCAAATTCTATTTATCTCTGCCCCCATTAATATTGTTGGTCACATGCAATTGTGAAAAACTTGACATGCCTTTTGAGTAGGTTTTAGAGCTATGTTAAATTTTGTTACATACATATATTTAACCAGAAATCAATTAATTCATTTGAGCAAAAGGTATAGGTAAGGAATTCCACTCAAGTAGTGATTTTTTTTTGTACTACAAAAAATTGAGGCCACAGCATGATTATTTTTTTAAGTTGACAAAATATTGAAGTCGCAGCAAACTTTAGACCTCACATTAGTGTTTTGTCAGTTTTCCCAAAATGTACAATCAAAATTGATAACTGAGTTTTCCTAAAAAATGGATAGCATTTTCTCATTTTAAATTTTGTTATTTTTCTAAAACCATTGGCATCTCCTATCATGCAGGTGCAAATGAAGGCGAACCCAGAACCTAAGCACATGAACAAGATGGTTACAGCATTTAATGAATTTAGGTTAGGGATCACGAAGGCCTTCACTGCGGAAATTACATTTAAACTAAGATCTGAAGGGTGCATAGGAGATGGGCAGGCTGAGAGAGAGGGGTCAACATTGGAGGAAGCAGACGCAGCTTGCAGGAAAGCAGGTCAGCAAGAGACTGTGGTTCCAGTGCACCTGGTGTGAGACAAGAGAGGAGAAGGCAGGCTGAGACAGATATCAAAACATGCAATGGGGTAGTGGAATCAGTCATGGAGGATCTTGAAATATATGTTAAGGGGTTAACATTTGTCCAAAGAGCAAATTAATAATGGTTTTTCAGCTGGAGAAACAAGGTGGGAGAATTGCAGTGAGGCCACTGGTTCTGTGGCAGAGTACTGGGGGGTTAATACAATAGTGATAGGGACAGCTCTTCTTAATAGGTATTTCAGAAGTACAGCTAGCCAGATCTGAAGGTCTATTGGAAGGGGAAAGAAGTTAACCTGATTCCCAGGCTTCTGGCTTGATCTGCTGGTTGAATGGTGGTGCAGTTTATTACATATAAACATTGACAGAAGAGCAAGGGATATTAACAGAAGTGTTTAGATGGACTTAAATATGGTTTCGTGTTAGCTAAGGTCCCAGAAGAAAGCCTTTAGATGAAGTAAAATCCTTCCCCAAATGTTTTAGTCCAATTTCCATTCTTTAATGATATTAAAATTGAATTTTGATTTTAATTATTTTGGACCTTTAATTTCTTAAGGATTATTTTAAACATTAGTTCTCATTGTATAGCAATTTCAGGACAGATACTGTATGAGACTGCTTTGCATGTATACTGACTACAGAATATTTCCTGAAAATAGAGGATGGGTGTCCAACACAAAAAGTCAAATTTAAAAAATTATTGTTGTTATAGGCATTTTTCTTCTAAATATAAAATGTAAACTGTTTTTTAATCAATTGTGGTCTTGTTTTACATGATTCTTTCTTATATTGAAGATTCAAACTTGCCTTGAAGTCAAGGGCATGTTGCCTGCTAAGTTGTTTTCCAGTGACTTTGAGTGTCAGGCACAGTTCAAACTCCTCTTGACTTGATTCCTTCTTTTCTAAAGTGACAAGAAAAAGAATAGGTCTGTCAGGGGTAGGAGATTTTAGAGAAACCTTAGGGGGAAAAGCAAGATGGAAAAGACTGAGAACTATAGGAAGCTATGAAATATTGATTTGTGGAAAAGAGAACATAGCAAGTAAATAGAGAAAAGAGGAAATATAAGATATTCTACTCCTAGTACTAGTTTTTAATGTTACTAATGGGAAAATTTAGGCTTTATAAAAAAGAAATGTAGCACAAAGTGTTTAAATGGAATATTTGTTCCTGGGAACTCTTGGTCACAGGCCAACCCCCTCTAACTCTTACCCTACATTTAATGATTTTTTAAAAGCTCTCTTTGGAAAGAGGTATAAATAACCATCCAAGACCTCTAACTACTGGTTTCATATAAGTCATAGCAAACTCTGTTTGTGCCTTTAACAGGAAGATAAAATTCATATTAGTGTAACAAATGGAATGCATAATATTTGCAAATGAAAAATGGAGCCAGCCGTTTAAAGCAGCTTCAAAAAAAATCTTGATTTTAAAACTTTTTAATGGTGTATTGGTGTATTGATTTTTTTGGTGTATTGATTGATAAGTAGTTCTTTACTTGTGGAAATTTTAAGAGTTGGAAAGTTGTGTTTTGCTTTAGGAGAAAAACTTAATGCCATTCAAATTTGGGAAAAAGTTTCTGCTCAAGTATATGACATAATTCATTTATAAGCAGAGGGCTGAAATCACACGAGCAGAATGGTGATATCAGAAAGGCAGTATCTGAATATTGTATAATAGGTGACAAATGAATAGAAGAAAAAAATACATTGATCTTTTACTATTCTGAGACTTTGTCTTTCTCTCATGTATTTTCAAAAATAATTTCCATTTTTATCAAAGTCAAAAGTGTCAAATAGTAGTAAAAAGACAAAGTTACCAACAAACCTTGTGCCCTTGACCATTCCCAAATTTCCTCCACATTCTGCTACTCTGAGGTAACTCCTTTAAATATTTCGCTCCTGCTTTCTTGTATTTCCATTCACATTTCCAATAATATACGGATATTGCTATTTTTCAAGTGATCAGTTTTAGACAGTAACTACTGACTTCCATGTGTGGTGATGAAGATTTAATGGTCTTATATTCCTACTTCCTCTTCCCTTTCCCATTCTCTCAGTATATGATAAGTTATGGTTAAGCATTTGCAGTTTCATTATTGTGACAGTTCATTGCTGAATCAAGTGGTAGATAATGACCATAATTCCATTTCTGTATAGCTTTATTTTTCTGTAATAATGACCTTACTATTTCATTTCTTAGTTTTCTTCAATCCTTTCCTAAGTCTTGAAGTATTTTCCAACATCTTTGTAAAAGAAAACAAAAAAAGCCATTCATTGCAATTTTCCAGAGCCCAAACTGTCAGGAGATCTACCTCTTCTGTTATTTTTTTTATCCTGAAGTATTCCTCCTGGAACCCTCCAACCTCATGCTCCAGTCTGTATTTGTGGCTCTCTAGAACTAATACATAGGTGCTTGTCTTAGCTTGGGATACTATTATAAAAATACAGTAAACTGGGTGGCTTATAAGCAACAGAACTTTATTTCTTACAGTTCTAGAGGCTGAAAGTCTGAGATTAGGGTGCCAGCACTGTGGAATTCTGGTGAGGAAACTCTTCCAGGTTGCAGATTGCGGACTTACAGTATCCTTATCCTTACAGTATCCTTACACAGAGAGCAGAGAGGGGAAGTAAAGCCTCTGGTGACTTTTATAAGGCCTCTGATCTCATTGATGAGGGCTCCATCCTCATGACCTCATCTAATTCTAATCACCTCCCAAAGATGCCACCTCCTGACCCCCTCACATTATGAAGCTGAGTTTCAACATATGAATATTAGGGGACACAAACATTTAGTCCATTACAGTGTTGTCCTGGGACTTCGATTTAACACCATCCTGGTGGTTACTCTTTGACTTGCTTCTGTGTTTACTAGCAATTTCTGGACTCAAATAACTTATTGTTGCCAATATTGCCTTTGAGAGATTACATGGTATTCAGAAGTTTCACAGTAATGTGCTTTGTGGTAGGTCTGTTCTTTCATTGTGAGGAAAGTTTTCAGGTTGGAAATTCAGGTCCTTCATTTCTAGGATAAATTCTTTGATAATTGCCTTTCAACTGTTTTTTCTCTTCTGTCCTTCTGTAACTTCTAATCTCATGTTGAAGCTCCCATACTAATGTAGAACTATTTTCTTTATTTTATGTCTGTCTTTGGTTTACCTTCAGGGGAAATTTCTTACTGTTTTAATGAATTTTTAATTTCAGCT